AAAGTACTTTTGGCCAACAGCAGAAGCAGTTTTTCTGTTTTTGGGAAGAAGTAGAAAATTCTAGCTTTTTCCAGAAGCAGAAGCAAAAAATTAATTTATTCAAGACAAAACTATCATCACCATAAATTTATATTTTTCAAAATCATCCGCACCATAAATTTATATATATATATAACTTCTCTATAATAACATCTTTATATAATAACACTTCATTATAAAAGCCAAAACTTTTCGATACCAATTTTCATGTTATGTTATAATATATGTTCTATATAACAGCACTTCGCTATAACATCCAAAAATATTTGGAACAAACGAAGTTGTTATATATATATAAATAAACTTTTTTTACCATCAGATACATGAATCATGTAAACTTTTCAAATTTATTTTTTGTCTTTTCATTTGTTTTTGCTTCTTTCGCTTGGATTAGTTCTTTTTTTCTTTTTCTTTTTTCTAATTTATATCATTATTTTAAAAATTAAAGTTATCAAATACATGAATCATCTTGTAATGGAGATCCTTCTTTAGAAATGCAAAACAAGTCTTCTACTATTATAGAAGCGTTGCGTGATAGAATTAGAGATGAAATTGTTGGGAAATATTATCATGTATGAGTGACTTTGCTTATTATTTCATGGCTGATTATCAATATATAGTATTTATGAGGAATAAACTTTAAGTCACACTTAATGACTTATTTTGATTATTCAAATTATCGTGTAAATAACAAGTAATTATACTAAATAATATTATTGCTTTGGTATAACTATATATGTTATAATGATTTAAATATTTAGTATATATATTTACTTTATGTTTATATTTTAATTAAATTAAATAAAATACTAATAACAGTCTCTTATAATAAATATTTAAATTTATTTTTCTCTTTAAAATAATTATAAAACTTTGGTACTGTTCTTTTTGATAATTTGATACTCAAAAGCACTTTTTATAAAGATTGACCAAACACAATTTGTTTATCAAATATTACAAAAAGTACTTCTTAAATGAATTGGTCAAACATAAATTATTATTATTATTATTATTTTAAATACTTTTCAAAATAAACAATTTTTTGCAGCTTGGTCAAACGGGTTCTTGGTCTCTTTTGTAGATTTGATTTATTGCTATTTGACATAAAATAAAGAAGAGGTAGAAAGATCTTAAATATGGTCATATCTGAACAAATTTCCCTTGGAACTCGTGTGTTCTGTATATTTGACTTAAAACTAATCTGGTTAAAGGCTATGCTTGCCCCCCTCCGCCCACCCCACCCCACGCGACCCCAACAAGTCAGAACCCTCTTTTTAGTATTTATTATTTATATTATATTGTGTAATTTTACTCTATTTTCCCCTCACTGCACATAAATTTCCCAATCTCATTTTTTTGTTCACTCACACAAATTTCCAACAAGAGAATTTGATTAAAGGCTCCTCTAGCTACAAACAGGTTGCACTTCCTAAGCTACATTGGATGAACTAAGGTAACGAGAGTAAATCATTTTCCCCTTTCTTTTTTTCTTTCTTTCTTTTTATTCGATTTGTGATGATTCTTTGAAACTTGTATGCTTTAAATTTTTCAATGTTTATGCTATTCTGATCTTGCTTCCCATTTTGCCTTTACTTAAATTCTTGAATTGTTATATGTGGTGCGGGGAGAAATATTTATTTCCTTTTTCATCTCTCAACAAACCCCTATCATATGAAGAGAACACGAGAATTTTATCTTATAAAAAATGTCGCTACCTATAGAAATTACGAATTTTAGTAAATTCCATGGATTTTCGAATCTCGCACGTTAACAATGTGTGTAACTTGTTTATACTCCATAGAATTGTGTAAAGAGATGTTTTGTTTGATTTGGATTAGATTGACCATGAGCTGATGTACGGATAAATAGATAATTTTCCATTTTATAATAATTTATATTTGTCGTATACGGGCGTAATTAGGTAATAGTTATAAAAATAATTATTATATTTAATTCGCCGACTCTAAATAAATAATATTAATTGTGGCTAATAATATAATTTTGTCGTATCTTATGTAGAAATGACATGATTTTGTTTGATTTGGATTGCGTTGATCATAAAATGAAGTACCGATGAATAGATAATTTTCTAGTTTAGAATGATTGATGTTTGTCGTATACAAGCGAGATTCAGATAAATTACATACAGATTTTTACTTATCTTTAATTCTTCGACTCTAAATATTAAATATAAATTGTTACTGCTTTAAATAAGACTACTTCTCACTTAAATTTAATTGGTAGTGAAATATACGTGACGATTAAAGATACCTTAGTCTTATCTTTATTTAGAAACTTTTGGAACATTTAACTAAAACTTTACACATGATTTTTAATCATTTTTATTTATGAAATTTACAACACTTATCACAGGATTACATTGATCCAAGTTGAAAATGACTACATAGTTTTTTTCATTATGGAATTATTTGATTTGTCTTATTCAAGCGGAATTTAGATATATCATTACACTTAACATTTATATTTAATTAAATTTTCATATATATTTCTAATAATATACTTATGTCATATATTACGTATAAACGATATATTTTGTTGTTTGATCATGAAATATACGTGACCATTAAAGATAGCTTAGTAGTATATATCTCTGATTCTCTATCTATAAACTTTTGGAACATTCAATATAAACTTTAAAACAAAAGCTCATAAAGACTAACAATTGCGTGATTGTTAATAATTTTCATTTATGAAATTTAAAGCATGAGTCACATTGTAAATATAAAAGTACTACAGCCTTAACATCATCATTTATTTTTTAGAGGAAAATCTACCTTATTTTTGCGAAAAAAAATATTAACCTCTTAAAGTGAAATATTGTAGATAAACATATCATAAATGCACTATATTAATAACAACTTGTCTCCTTATGAGAGCAACCAGGATACTTGACTTTAACATTATGTACCAGATACCTACATAAGAACAAAAGTCAAAAATATCATTATTAAGAATGGATTTTTCATTAATTTATTGATTTGACGCTTGCTCAGGTGAAAAAAGAAAAGAAAAGAAAAGAACCATACATTATGCTTGACATACTCAAAGTAAAATCTGATACATATGTATACAAAAAGAAAATAATCATACATTAATGATTAGATAGGTTGTCGTATTATAGTATGATATGATATATTTAGCGGCATAATAGTTTTCACTTCAAAAGAATTCAAAAATGTTATAAAAGATTATATTTTTCTTTACCATGATAAGATAAATCTAGAATTATATCTAGATTATATTAGGTACCAAAGAATAGATAGTCATACATTAAACGATAAAACTTATCGTATTATAGTAAAATATTTTTAATGGCAGAATTTGTCTTGTCTTTGCAAACATTCAAAATGTTAATTAAGAAACTAAATACGATAAAATTATCAAAAGATTATATTTGTGTTTACTACAATCAGATAAAATCGAATATATTATGTGTACAAAAAACAATAATCATATATTAAATGATTAAAAATTATCAACTATAGTAAACTATAACAACATGATCTTTTCTTGTTTGTACTTCACAAACATTCGAAATCCTTAATTAAGAAACTAAATGCAATAACTTATCAAAAGATCATATTTTGTCTTTACCACAAAAAGACTTGGTCAAATCTCTTTCCTAATATTTACACTTAATTAGCTATAAAGCTCGACTTTTGTCTTTGCATTTCTCAAATATCTAAGAAACGTAAATTTAAAAAAAAAAGATAGAAAAGATAAATTTCTGAAAAAACTATTTGCACTTGCCATAAAAAATGAAGTGACCAAATCGCTTTTCGAAATCGGAACTAGGTTTTTCATATTAAGGTAACAAACAATACTTTTTCTTCATCTCACGAAAATTCGAACAAGTCAATTATTATGATAAATAATATTTATCGCAAATTGAAAAAGATCAAATTTGTCCCCGTCATCATAATGTAAATTGATTAAATCTCTAAAGTAGCTATTTGCTTTTTCCATTGACCTAAGGGGTTATCTTTATAATATTTGGGGTTTTGGCGGAGTAGTTTTATTGTGTGTCTCACACAATTTACATTACACCTTGTTTGGATGGTTGTTACACATCGTTTTATAATGTATCGTATCGTACTGTATTGTATTGTACTGTATCATTTGATAAATACAATGTTTGGATAGATTGTGTCGCTCGCCATCATTTCATGATATTACACACAAGCAATATGAAGAATAAACTTGCAATATTATAAAGAAAAATTATGATACATGATAAAATTAGAATACAAAAAGGTAGGGTAAATGATAAAATAAAATTATTTAATAATAATAAATGGCGAGATTGAGAGAAAAAGACAAGGTAACGACGCGACCACACCATATCGATCGTTACATAAAGTGACACATTCTGTCGTTATGTAACGACGGATTTAACGATATGATACAATAAAATTTAAGTACAATCAAAATAAATATTGTATTTAAGTAACAATACCATACGATTCCGTGGGTAACAACCATCCAAACAAGTTGTTAGTTGTATGAGGCTCTTTTTTGTCTCATCTCAATCTTACACTTCTGGGTCCACAAAAAATCTGGATCCACAAAACTGTGAGACAAAAAAAAATTGTACAACTAGTGTCAGTTGTATGAAACACAAAATAAAGTTTTTTATTTTGGCAAGTCCGATGTAATTGGGATATCTTGGCGGGGAGAGGGGGGATTGGTAGTTGAGGTCGAGCCATCAAATGGAATTACCCGGTGACAGGAGTTTCATATCGTTATTGCCTTTTGGAGTTATATTTATTTATTCATGAAAAAACAAACAAAATAAATATATATATATATATATATATTAAAATTAGCAGCACATGTAACGGAGCCCACCATCGTCCCAGGAATCCCAATCATAAAAAAAGGGATTGGAGGGAAGGAAGAAAAGGTCAAATAAACGACGTCGTATCCAAAAAGGACACAAAAATGAATCTGTAATATTCAGGCTTCCCCTTTCGTGGCGTCGCAAAATCGACTCGCGGCAATTCAAGAACACAATCAAACCAAACCTGTACACCTATACCTATAAATATAGCACAGTGTAAAGATACAAATTTCATGCAGATAGAGACACGGTTTGAGTTCTGAGGAGTGGAGGGTTTTTCTTTTTCTTTTTTCTTTTTTTATTTAGAATTTAGAATTTAGAATTAGAAGCGTGGGGGCAATTGTGAATTGTCTCCTTCACCGAATTTTACGTTCTCATTTTTTTCTTCTTTGATATTAATACTACCAGATTTAACAACACATATACATATAGATTCTATATATATTATCCGATTTTCTCTCTCTAACCCCCTTTCTCCTCCTCCCCCCTCTCTCTCTCTCTAGATTTTCCATGTAGTCCAATACCAGTCGTATTTCTCCGCCGCAGATGCCTTATCAAAAACCCTAGGCTCTGTTTTGGGGATAATTAGGTATATAATTTTGGTTGTTATTTGTTATGGGTTCTTGCGGAGGTACAAACAGCCCTGTTACGATAATGGAGCAACGTTGGAGCTTGTTGTCTAGCCCTGATCCTATGTCAATTAGCGAGGACCGTTGGCTTCTTGCTGAAGAAACCATTCAGGAAGTGGTGAATTGTATTCACCCAACTCTTGACACTGAGGAAAAGAGAAAAGATGTGATTGATTACGTGCAAAGACTCATTCGATGTTCCCTTGGTTGTGAGGTCAGTTAATTCCCTTTTTCAGTTTGCATGCCTTTTTTTTCCCTCTACAGTTAGTTGTGTTGTTGAATTCAGTTGTTAAGCTGCATTCCTTTCACTCAATGGGAAATTGATTACTACTTGTTTTTATTTAATTAATGCTAATTGAGGTTATGATTATTCTCTGACCCGCTTTTTATATCTGATAGCTTAGATTTCTGTGTAGAGAAGGTTCTATTTAATGTTTGGCTTCTTTTTACTAATCTATGATGGTACCGGTGCGCAAGAAGGAGAAACAAAAAAGAGTATCAAAGTTGTTTTGGGCTTTTTAGCATCATTGGATAGAATTACTTGACAAGAGGGGTTGCTCTGATGGTAAGCAACCTCCACTTCCAACCAAGAGGTTGTGAGTTCGAGTCTCCCCAAGAGCAAGGTGGGAAGTTCTTGGAGGGAAGGATACCGGGGTCTATTTGGAAACAGCCTCTCTACCCAGGGTAGGGGTAAGGTCTGCGTACACACTACCCTCCCCAGACCCCATTAAGTGGGATTATACTGGGTTGTTGTTGTTGTTGTTGGATAGAATTACTATAATCTTGGCAGTATCTTGTGGTGTTAAGCCTCGAAATTGCTTCTGACAGTTATCCTCACCTACCAAAATTATATCTATTCATCGGTATTTATTGTGGGCCTTTCCGAATCATGCGATAGAATTACTGCAATCTTGGTGTTCAGCCACAAATTTGCTTCTGGCAGTTATACTCCTTTACCAAAATTATATCTGCCCATCAGTACACCAATAGAAGAGAAAGATGAATGGTCTATCTTATGCATTTTTTACTTTACTAATAGAAGTATAACTGCCTTTTCAGCTACGAGCATGGAGTCGTGCTCCGACTGCATCAAGTTTGAACTTTTGATGGTTCACCTAGAAAGTTGTAGAAATATCTAGCAGCTAGCCATTTTCTTACTAATGACACTCCTCTTCGAGCTATTTGATGTTTCTTTTTCTGTCAAGTCATTAGTAGCGCCTTTAAGATGATTCTATATATACCTCTGAATCAATTCAATTTCTTTTGAAGTTCATGATCATACTTTATTCTTTCACTTCTGTGTTTGTGCATATCCTACCACAGTTTTAACCTAATCCAAGTGCTATGGTTAGCAGATATCCTACTGCAGATTTAGCCTAATCTATTGGATGCTTAATTTTGTCTTAATCTATGTTGCTCGGCCTCTCGGAAAATGTGGATGGGTGCGTGTCGGATCCTCCAAAAGTAGTGCATTTTTGGAGGATCCAACCCGGGTGCGGCAGCTGTTTTGGAGAGTCCGCGCAACATAGGTCATAATGCATGTGTTCCTTACAACAGGTTTAAGAAATGCTATTTGTTAAAATATTCATGTCATTTCCAGATATTGGGGCTTGAAAATCTCGAAAGAATGTTATGTGTCGTTATCTGATTTTTGGTCTTATAGAATAAATAGTATGTTGATAGTTTGACGTATGGTTGCGGGATGGGCTTTTCCTGGAACCTGATTAATTGGCCTCTATAAGGATTTATTGGTTTGACAGGTTACTGCGAAGGTCTTTTAGAGGATTATGGATTGACCTTTAAATTAGCGCTCCTCAAACATGACATGTACTTAACTAATTTCTGGATGGTAGACCAAAATATTTCTGAGTTATAAGATGTAATTTTGTGGTTGTCAATGGCTTTACATTGTTTTTAACTTGTTATAGCATGCATTTACATATCTATGACATATTACAGCGTTAATCTTATTAGTATCATTTAGTTTTAAATTTTCTAGTGATATGTAATCGAAGTTTGATGTGAAATGAAAAAGAAATCATCTTATTGCTTATGATCTGAATTTCGGGTAAAAATTGTTAAACTATTCTCACTTCAGATTAGGTCCCGGTTGTTTTTCTGATATTGGTTGAATATGGAAGATCTTGCTGCAGATTGAACTATGCGATTTTTTTTTTCTTAAACAAAGAATTACCTTACTTTCCAACTGATGATCCTTGAACTGAACTAGTCAATAGGAAAACTTTGCTTTTCTTTTTCGGTAACTGAATAATGCTGAGGCTGATTGCTTCTTGTACAGGTTTTTCCATATGGATCTGTACCATTGAAGACGTACCTTCCTGATGGTGACATCGATTTGACTGCACTGAGCAGTAATTATGGTGAAGAGGCATTGGCCCGTGATGTTCTTGCTGTTCTACAGGAAGAGGAAAATAGAGAAAATGCTGAGTTTGATGTCAAGGATGCCCAATTCATTGATGCTGAGGTTTTTTCTCTAAATCTTTATGGTGGAAGTGTTTTGTTTTCAAGATTCTATGAAACAAGTTGAATGAATAAAATTCTTCGCAGCTCTCTGCAGTTTCTAGTTGTTTTCACAAATATTTTCTCAATATGCTGCTGCTCAAGGAAGTTTATTTGATTATAGGCATAGTGGAACCTTCATCGTTCTTAATTTATTTGGAGGTTTACATTGTGATTTTAGATCGACAATTTTGTTTTAGCATTTTGGTTGTCTTGAAGAATCTATTAATAGTGTGTAATAATTAAGTAGTTTTATCACCTATGCTTAATTGATCTTCTGATTGTTTTATTATTGAGAAATTTGGATTGCTGGTGGCAGGTAAAGCTCGTGAAATGCCTTGTACAGAATACTGTGATTGACATATCCTTTAATCAGCTAGGAGGACTCTGTTCCCTTTGTTTCCTTGAGCAGGTAAAGCTCAGAGCATATTGTCAATATTCACATAATCTTGTTGGAACTTGTGTGATAGTTCAATTGTGTGCTAATTTTTAGGAAAGATTGTTGCGAGGATCTCGATTATGGAGGAATGTGAAATAATTCTATAAGCATCTATGGCACAGACTAAACCCTTTTCTGGGTTTAGGTATTGATTCACTGGGGCAGTTCAGTGTTCGATGATGTAGGATAATGAGTAGTCAGATCTTGTCTCTCTTTCCTGACCGTGTCCCCAAATCCCAGACAATGTTTATTTTCAACTGTTAGTAACTTCGCTAGTTATATATGTATGATGGTGTTGACATCTACTCTTAACTTCCTCTCTGCAGTGTGCTTACCTATCTTTCCTTCCAGTTTGTGTTTAAAAAAGCAACAACAATAACAACATACCCACTATATTCCCGCAAGTGGGGTTTGGGGAGGATGTTTAGAAAAGAGATATAATAAATGTCATAAATGTGATCTGTTCACTTGTTGTTGGGACTTGGGTCAGCTTGTAGACTCAAACTCCGCAGAGCATTTGCTTATCTCCCTTCTACTTTCTGTGCAAGTTCGGACAGCCATATGTCATAAGTACAATCGTATTACTCTGTTTAATGTCAGATGTGGTTATGAGTATCTGATCCTATATTCTTCTTGATTTCTTTGTTCCTTGAGCATAGATAGACCGTTTTGTTGGTAAAAATCATCTTTTCAAGCGAAGCATTATTTTGGCAAAGGCTTGGTGCTATTATGAAAGCCGTATTCTTGGTGCACACCACGGGCTGATTTCCACATATGCTTTGGAAATTCTGGTCTTATATATATTTCATATGTTCCATTCATCATTAAGTGGTCCTTTAGAGGTAAGTGCTTGCTTCATGCTTGTCAGTTTTGGACATTTTCGGTTCGTATGCATGCATGATTCTATTTAATAGTCATTTTCTTGCTCTCTTTTAGGTTCTCTACCGATTTTTGGATTATTACAGCAAATTTGATTGGGACATCTATTGTGTCAGTTTGAATGGTCCAGTTCGCAAAGCATCCCTTCCTGACATAGTGGGTAAGCAGTGCATATTTTTTCATTCTTTATAAGTTGCTTGTACTATCTCTAACATGTTTATGACCCTCTACGAATTTTTGGCTATGGTCATGCATGAACGTACAAAATGATTGGATATCTTTTTATGGTTTAGTGGCAGGAAGAATTTGATATATCCTTCTTCAATGCTTTACTTATGGTTATCTCTTTTCTCTCTCTGCAGTTGATATGCCAGATAATGTAAGGAACAATGTGTTGCTTAGTGAGGAGTTCTTGAGAAACTGTATGGAAATGTTCTCAGTTCCATCCAGAGACGTTGAGATGAACACACGAGCATTTCAACAAAAATATCTAAATATAATTGACCCCTTGAAAGAAAATAATAACCTGGGGCGCAGTGTCCACAGAGGTAAGCTTGAATCATTACTTTCTACTTTGTACCAAGAAGATAATTACTCCCTCCCGTTCGATTTATGTGACACGCCTTACTTATTAGTTCGTTCCGAAAATAATTGACATTTTTATATTTGGAAACAATTTAATTTTACCCATCTTACCCTTAATGAGAAGCTTTTATAGCCGCATAAATGTTGTGGAATGTTTAAGACCACAAGTTTCAAGCCACACAACTATTATGTCATGTTTAATACCACAAATTTCAAAAGTTTTCTTTTTTCTTCATAAACTTTGTTCCAAGTCAAACTACGGTACATAAATTGAAACGCACCGGTTCCCCCTTCACATTTTCTTGTACTTTGTTTACTTGGAGAATGTTGTAAAGAATTTAAAGAATCTTATGATCTGGTTCTGTGGTTTTGGTCATTGAGTATTAGAAGAAATCTTTTTCTGGATTCTTCGTAAGAGTTCCTATATTTCTTTGCATTCTGATTTTTTCCCAGAACAGGATTACTAAAGTTACCGTTTGATTGGATTCAAGGACATCAAGTGGTCAAATTTATTCATTGAATTACTGGCAAAAGATGTACTTGTTACCTCTTTCTAGATCCCTGATAAACAAATACTTGTAGTAGAGACCTTTTCATTTATAGCCAATACCTTATGAGTAATCACGCATTTCTACTTAAATGACTATTCTCTAACTGGAGGTCAGTATTGGAGCATATATAATTTCTATCACCATGACCTGCGTAGGAACAGATAAGTTTTTCGAGAAGTTCCTATACTTGTAAGCTTTAGCATATGATTTGTACCAACTATGTTAGATATAAGAGCATGTTTTTGGTGTTTTCTGTTGGTAATATTGGTGGATTTGTTTCCTTCTTTTTATTCATCACGTCTAGATTATTACTTTGATTGCCTCCAGGTAGTTTCCATCGAATACGTAGGGCTTTTAAGTATGGGGCCTGCAAGCTTGGGCGCATTCTTTTGTCACCATCTGATAAAGTTGCCAATGAGATCAAGAAGTTCTTTGCAAACACCCTTGAGAGGCATGGATGCAAACATTTTGCTCATTTACAGAATTCTGGCCCAAATTTTGATGATGAAGGCACATTTTCTTCATTGTTCCCTGCTGAATTTTATTGTGAGGATGACATTCTGCTCAAATTTTCAGAGGGTGATTTGGAGAATGATAATGTGGAAATGGTTTATAAATATTCAATACCAAGATCTGCACTGGAGAGTAACTCGATGAATGGGGTTTTGTCATGTATGGTGTCAGGACATGGCTACTTTTTAGATGGGCAAGCAGTATCAGGACTTTGTCTATCTAGAGATGGAAATGATCTTGCAGCTTGTATTTCTGCAAATCTGAATGTTATGAATGGTACATCTGAGTGTTCAGGTACAGGAAATAACATCAGTTCTCCTTCTGGGAAGCAATACAGCACTACTTATTGTAACTTCAGTGAACCAAGTGCTGGACATGGGAACTGTGGGCCTGGAAGTTTGTGCCAGAGTGACTTATCTGATTGTATTGATGAGAAGTTGGGCTCTGATTTTTGGGTAGAAACCAGAGATAACCCTCTGGAGAGCAGCAGCATATACCAGTCAGGTACAGAGTATAGCGAGGACATCTGGTCTGGTGGTTCAGCAATCTCGAGCCCAAAGACCAGCATTTTAGAAAGTTTATCCCTTGATATACGAGAAAAGGACTCTGCTAGCTTGGCTGGAGATATGGAAGCTATAAATCCTTTAGGCGACCTAAATGGGGACTATGATAGCCATATACGCAGTTTGCTTTATGGACAATGTTGCCATGGGTTTTCTTTGTCAGCACCTGCACTGTCCAATTATCCATCGTCACCATCTTGGTTTCAAAGTGAAAACTTCTGGCATACTGTCCAACAATCAATGCCGCAGAGACATCAACCTTTCTCGCAAATGAATATGAATAATATGCTTGTGTGTCCAACTGTTCAACTTTCTTGTTACTCTCTACCATCTACTGCTATGTTAAGTTCCGAAGTGAAAGAATCGGCACAGGGAACAGGCACTTACTCTCTGAATACGGTATTTGTTTCCTCCTTTTTCTGCAGGCTTCTCTTTCCTCTTTTTTCACGTATTTCAGTTTCTCTAAGTATGCCAGTCTTCCCTTTCTAAAGCTTGGGGTCTTTTTGATTTGATTCTCCTCTTTTTTCTTTTAGGAATGTCTGAGCATATTTAATATGCAAGGCTCTGTTTTCGTCAATAATTTTTGTGAAGCTCCATTTTTGTAAAGATTTTATTTGGATGTCTTGCAGAATTATTCTTGTCCGGAGATACCTAAAGGATGGGACCGGAATCTGGCATCCGGAACTTATACTCAGTTGTACATGTATAATAGCAACCACATTAACGGTTGGGTTCCTGCTTTTTCTGAAACTAACTATTCGGGAAAATGCATCCAAGAGGTTTCAGGTGTACAATCTACTGTTCAAAGTCATGGGGAGTTTGCTGTACCGGGCCAACCTCATCATATTAATGGTTGGGTTCCATCTTTTTCTGACACTAACTCTTTGGGAAAATGCACCCAAGAGGTTTCAGGTGTACAATCTACTGTTCAAAGTCATGGGGAGTTTGCTGTATCGGGCCAACCTCATCATATTAATGGTTGGGTTCCTGCTTTTTCTGACAGTAACTCTTTGGGAAAATGCACGCAAGAGGTTTCAGGTGTACTATCTACTGTTCAAAGTCATGGGGAATTTGCTGTATCAGGCCAACCTCATCACATTAATGGTCGGGTTCCTACTTTTTCTGAGACTAACTCTTCGGGAAAATGCACCCAAGAGGGTTCAGGTGTACAATCCATTGTTCAAGGTCATGGGGAGTTTGCCATATCGGGCCATTCTCATCGCCATATTGATAATTCTCATGCCAATGATTTCTCAAGATCATGTAGACTAGAATTTGGATCTGTGGGGAAGCTTACCAAGGATGTGCTTACACACTCCTCGGACGATGTGCTCCCGGTCCCGAGTGTCTCGCGCAGTGTGTCATGTTCAAAACCAGCATTGGGTAAAAATGACAGGTAGGATGACAATGTTATGTTATTGTTGGACTTGTGGGAAGTAGTTTGGTCCTTTGAACTTTGTTGCCGGAAAAGCTATCTAAAGCACTTTCTGATTTGGGCTTTCAGGACTTCAGGTCATTTATTCCGCCTTAAGAATGAAGATGAGTTCCCTACTCTGTCCCTGTGAAAGTTGTAGACTGATTTTCGACTTGTCTAGAGACTGAATGGGAATTTGTACCATAGATGTTAACAGAAACAGAGATTCTAGGCAGACAGGAGATAGAGACTGGGGAGATAAAGTTATAGATACTAAAGCAGAGTATGTCTTTTTGACTCTTTCTTGGCTTTATTAAGTACATTACTAATTTTCTCGGTTGTTGTGCCATAATATTTATATAAATGTAAAAAAGGTAGGGGAAAAAAAGCTCATTGTACAGTTCTTTTGGCAGTATACCCTCACTGTGAATGTGATAATTCCTGATTATCGCGTTCAGAGGTTCAGGACAGATTGTAGCCGCTTGGCACTGTCTTCTTAGTTACTACATCTTTTGGGATAATTCATCATCAATCTTGTGGGTTTTGTGTGTTATGTTGTGGATAATTCCATGATATTGGATAGAATATTTGATAAAGAACACAATGGGAAGTGAGCCTTGTGTTTCATTTGACCGTCATGCATTAATGCTAATAACTGTGACTGCTGCATAGCATATTATTGATGAATTCTTAGTACTGCATTAGTACCTTTTTTTTTTTTAATAAAAAGATTTAAATCGGAATTAGATGGACTTGTAACTCATTCTCGGTACCAAGGCATCAACTTCTTGGGTCTACATTGTAGGATCTAAATATTGGTCTTTCTTTGTGAGAAGATAAAACAAGCTACTTGATGTTTCAACCCTTCTAACTAGTGTTTATTTCTTCTATAGGGTTCTAAGTGTAAATTGAAGATCTTATGCTAGGATTAGTTATCCTGGTATTATTTTTTATCCACTGTTTGGTATGTTGTATTTAAAATGATAATTGCATAATTTCTAAGAAGGTATAAGTTATTCCGACACTAATTACCCCACCCTCTACATGGTATAAGTTATCCCGGTACTAATTTTAATCCCGGGATAACTTATACCAGGTTTGCTAACCAAACAAAGTATTAAGGTGGTATTAATTTTTTATATCAGCACTATACCTTCTTATACCTCATACCAAACGACCCCTTAGATGTTTCATAAATGCTACCGTGTTGTTGGAACAAGAACAACAAGCTTTGCTAGAGAGTCAATGGTTTAGTTTGACCGGTTATTCCAACAAATTGTATAATACTAAATTTTCCAATAAAAATAAACTTTTTTCAACGGTCGAATCATCTCGAATTCTCTTAGGTTAACTTTAAGACCTCAAAAAAAAATATTACTTACTTCCTCCTTTCCAATTTATTTGGTGTTTGATTGGGCATATGAAAGAAATAGTTTTGAAGTGGTTTAAAATAAGCTAAAGAAATTTTTGTAGCTATATATATCATCAGATTAAGAGTAAAATAGTAATTTAAAGTGAATTGTTGCTATACGAAACAATATTATTCTTCTTGGAATGGATTGAAAAGGAAGAGTGTTACATAAATTAGTACAGAGGAAGTACTAGTAATTTCATATGTTAATTAAACTATTGACATTTAGCATAACATGGAAAGTTGCAATTCTCATATTAGAAATAATAGATGAAATGAGCTATATATGCTTGCTTTAACAAGTGTTTTTATGATAGTTTTTTAGGTGTATTGTATTTTACCGTCGAGGTACATCGTTTGGAAGTACTAATTTTTGTTGGTATTGTTCGATTGAATGTATATTAATTATTTTCTTTCATGCCCGTATTGTTTATAAAGTTATAAACGAGTCATTTGACATACCTTCTTCTTGAAATACTGTAATTGGTATATCTCCAACAATGGAAACATTAGCTATCACATTTATATACCCAAAAGAATTTAACTGTAATCCCATTAAGTCTAGTCATGAGCTAACTAGAATGCACAAAAGAATACAATCTGCATCATCGAAGCATTCCCCGAAACGATAGAATAAAGACTCGTAGGAATGGCCACCACTGAGATATAAGAGTGGCGCACCACCAAAGCGGAAAGGAGTGTGGCTCTAACTGGTTGTATCGTTCCCATTTACGACCAAAAATCTCACCAACGGCCGTGATGACATCTAACATGCTGGCTAGGCGAACCAATCACACAACAATCAAATAAACAATAGAAATAAATCAATATAACAAGTCTAATAGCAAGTTAAAGCATAAATAAGTCTAAAACCAACTTCAATAGGCGAAACAATAATACAATCCCCCAAAAACTGATGTCAACGAGTATATGAGCTCTAAGAGTGTTGAAAAATAATAGCCTAAATAAATACAACACTTTCAGAAATAAACAACAGTCTCAAAATAGGAAAAGAAGGTGACTTCGAGGCCCGCGAATGAACATGCTGCACTACCTCAAGTCCCCTGACACTACAATGATCTACTCCTCAGCTTTGCTGATGCCAACACCTGGATCTGCACAAAAATATATAGAAGGGTAGTATGAGTACAACCGACCAGTGTACTAAGTAAATATCAAGACTAACTTCAGCAAAATAGTGACGAAATTGGTCAACTGACCATAAATAAATATGATACCAGAATCTAGCAAAAATAGTATATAAAATGATCAGATATAACTAACAGAAATAGTAACATACTTTCAAATAAGAATTTTACTGAAGACTCATATTGGAACACCAAATCAACATGTATATAGATGATATGCATCACAGAGTATTATTATACGGAAAATGGCCTAAAATGCCTTTTTACTGTATGAAATAGGACAGGTTAGCTCTCCGTTAAAAGTTGGTCTTTATTCTGCCTTTGCCGTCAACAAATGGGCTCGTATATGCCCTCCATCACTAACGGAAGATTCATAAAGTCACGTGGAATATATGCGAGGGCAAGTTAGAACTAGTTCGAATTGTACAGGGGAATATATGAGTCAGTTATAATAATAGTCATTTCTCAAACTTCACAACTCCAAATCAGTTTACTTAGACACCTATTTGACAACACCAAACTAATTATCACAGCAAATAAACTCAGTCATAGATACAACAAATGAACGGTAATGACTTTATTAAATCCTTGTATAAAAACATAAAGCTTCATTACATAATTAAAGACAACAATTAAGCCACAATAATACTAACATTACATATCATTTCGCACTGATCCAAAGAACATAACAAGACATCCCAATATCACACAAATGAAAATTCACATCTTCTTCTGAAATGTAGCATCAAGCACAACTGAGTACTCTAAATCGGTCACTTTCTTCATTAGAACATTTCTTCCCAATACCAAGGCTTCTATTACTCCATGATCGACGAGCATCATAACATTCTCAAGATCAAATTCTCCTTTGGAGAGCATGTCTTTCACGGATTAGAGCTTCCTTTTCCTTCTTTAAACTGCATATGAGATTTGAAACTCTAGGAGGAAGCTCTTCATCTTGTCATTCCCAATAGGAATATTTTTCATCCTAAAAACCAAAAATAAATAAAATAAATTTACAAGCAAATCGGAATAATTAAAAGAACCCATCGGAATTTTTACTTATTTCATGCTTCGGGCACTTGAAAAAATCTTCTCCTAGCATTTAAAGGTGTCCATGCCATGAAATAATGAGCAGTAAGTCCGTAATGACACCTCCTATTCGACCCATTTGACTTACTAGAACATTCCGACATTGTCTTTTGTTGTCTTTTGTTATGATTCGACGCCTTTGAGCTACTAAAATTTAATGAAGTCATTGTTGTTCATTTGAATGTTTGTGTCTATGACTTAGTTTATTTGCTGTGATAATTAGTTTGGTGTTGTCAAATAGGTGTCTAAGTAAACTGATATGGAGTTGTGAAGTGTTTGAGAAATGAATATTATAACCGACTCATATATGACCCTATACAATTCGAACTAGGTCTAACTTGCCCTCACATATATTCCACATGGCTTTATAAGTCTTCCGTTAGTGATGGAGGGCATATACGAGCCCATTTGTTGACGGCAAGGGCAGAATAGAGACCAACTTTTAACGGAGGGATAGCTTGTCCTATTTCATTTAGTAAAGGGGCATTTTAGGCCATTTTCCGTATTATAAATGCTGAATATGTGAGTCTATAATGTCTAAGTATAAATAAGACTCGGTGTCATCAACCAACACTCCCCAAGTGTCCAACAAACCTATACACACAAGGCCAAAGGTACAATGGGAGATCACCTAACTCCGGAGGGACGAATCTAAATCCATGCGCTACACGGACAACTCACATGCCAATAACAATAACACTCGCACGGACAACTTACGTGCCACAAAACTCATCTCGCACAGATAACTCACATGACTCAAACTCGGTCTATATAAGAGTTTTCATATATATAGTGTGTGCATACACATTATAAATAGCATAAGCGATATATATGGACACAAAAAATATACATTCAAAGACATGTGTATGTGAACAGTGTGACTGCGGCTAGAACAAGCATAACATGATATCACAAATAGCCATTTACGGTTAATAAGGTTCCCAAAGCCTAAAATATGGGTTCCTAGTATATTGGGAGAGCTCATGTAGTCACACAAGAATAGCAATAAGTCATAAATAGCATACGATGTAAATTCAAAGTATAAAATAGCTTAAAAACTACCCTCGAGCATGAATAGTTCATGACATTCGCGTTACACTCGCCACCATGCATATACAATGTCCCTAAAATGTAGCAAATAATCAAATAAGGTCAATTTACTAGGTAGATTCTCTCATACCAAGTTGGGCAAGATACTTACCTTATACAAGCCCAATCAATCCTCCAAAATAACTTTTCCTTTAAAAATAATCTCCAACCGCTCAAATCTAATCAAACAATACCCAAATAAGCCAAATAAACCCATCGTAATCAATTCTAAATAATAAGGTTTCAATCTTTAATCAATTCCTAAAAAATCAACAAAAGTCAATCTGGGCCTACATGGTCAAAATCCGAGCCTAGTGGTTGATCATGTTTACCCATAACCCCATAAGTCCAAATATGTATTTAGTTTTCAAGTCCAAGTCCAAATCGATGCTCAAAACCTAAATTTACACTCTCTTAAGTTGTAGACAAAACCCCAAATTTTACTTTAAAATTTTATAATATTAGGGTAAAAATTCATGAGAAATCAAGATATATGATCAATCCAAGTACAAATTACTTACCTCCAAGACAGTAGTGAAATCCCTCTTCAAAACTCTCCTCTCATTCTTCAAAAACTCATAAATGTGAAAAATAAGAATCCCAAAATTTAGACTTAAAATGCTCCTAGCAAAACTACCCTTCGCGAACGCAGACTCAGCCTCGCGATCACGAAGCACAAGTTGCCACCCATAGGAAATCCTCTTTCGCGATCGCGGACAGACCATCACAATCGCGTAGCTTCACCTGGTTCCTTTATACAAACGCGAGCAACACCCCGCAAACACGATGCCTAGCTGCTTCCAACCTTCGTGAACGCGATACCCCCATTCACGAACAGGAAACATAATAGCTCTCAGTC